GGCGTGTCGGGGACTGGCCTGGGGGGGGGGGGGCAGGGAGGGAGGGGGCTCTGAGCACCCAGGGCCGAGGACTTGGAAGCCACCCCGCCAGCCTCAGAAACCCGGCCGGACTGCAGGACGCAGGCTCTGCACCGGCTGTCCCTTCAGGAGGCAGGTCTCGGGGCCGCCTGCAGGGGGCAGTGTTCGCCACCGCAAGAGGGAACAGGGAGGAGGCGGTCACGTCCTGTGGCTCCAGGGGCGAGGGTGGGAGGGTTCTGCAGCGACCACCCCGGCACAGAGGGGGGTGCGGGCCTGGGGTGCTCACGGGACAGGGTGAGAGGCAGGGGCAGCCTTGTTCTCTAAAGCAGCTGTGGACTGCACACACCAAGAGACACGGGTGTTTGAAATGCAGGTAACGGTCACGTGCCATGGGATGTTCTTTTGAGTTTTCAAAACTCAAAACATTAAAAATGTAAAAGCAGACGGGCTGGAGTCCCTCCCCCCAGAGACAGGTCAGGCCCCCCAACACACACACAGCACCTGTCCCTGCCCACCTCGTGCTGGGGCTGCACTTGGTGGGGTCTCCCCCCCCACCCGCTCCAGTGGCCAATCTATCACAATGGACTCGGCTTGAGGCTGGGCCTGGACGGGAGGCCGGAGCCGGGGGCCCACGGAACTGGGGTCTTGCACCTTACACTTCTCTGGCACGGCCCACACCCACAGGAGGGGTTCCTGGGGTCCCCTGTGCTCCTGGCCTGGAACCTGGGCTGCTGGCCGCGGAGCCCGAGAACACAAGGGGACCAGGGCCCTAAGGACATGCAGCCAGTCCTGCACCGGGGACCGGAGAGGAGCAGCCCAGCTGACCCGGGCAGGGAGGGGCGGGACCCCGCTATGGACTAAGCTCAGCCTCGGCCAGGCGCCTGCCCTGAGAGAGGCCTCTTCTCCCCCTGCCCGCCGGGCCTCAGTTTCCTCATCTGTATAATGGGTGGTGCGTCACCCTAACCCTCCCAGTAACTCTCTGCGCTCCACCAGGCCGGGCTGGGCTTCTGGTGAATAGCCTGCCTGTGGGAGCGGGCTCTGGGTCTAGGGTCCCGGGTCCGAGTTCCAGGGGCCAGGGCCCACCACGGAGGCCCCTTGACAGCCAGAGGGAAACCCCGTGTCCTCCTTAGAAAGTGTGAAGTGCGCCGTGCATGACAGACGTGCGCTGTGGCGGGAAGAAAAGGGCGAAAGTGGGTCTAAGTCCTGACCCGGGGAGCGGGGGGCACATGCCCCCCATGGTCGCCCCCCCCACGTATCCCCTACGCCGGACGGCCAGCCACACTGGTGGCCACAGAGCCCGTGTGACGAGGACACCGCTGCTCGGGGGGAAGGGCTGAAGTGCGACCACATTCTGATTGGACGACTTGCCTTCGCTGCAACGACTCACGGACTCGCAGTGAGACTCGAACCCAGTTCCGATGGAGGGGACCCGGCCACGGGCACGTGGGCCCCGGGACAGGATCGCACCCAGAG